GACCTATAGTGACCCTATGAACGATCTGAACCCGGTCCTGTCCTGTGCCATCCTCACAACCTCTGACACTCTCAAGCCTATTGCTGCAGTCACTGTGTCACTCTATCTGGTTGAGGGTCATCTTCTCCTTCACTGTCTCTTCCCCTTTCCAAGCATCATGTCCCTTTCTAACAGCCTCCTCAAGCAACATGTCCAAAGTATGTGAGACAAAACGTCATCATCTTTGCCTCCAAAGAGCACTTTGGCTTCTCCCTCTCCAAAATATATCTTTTTGGGATCTTTAGAGAGCTCTGGTGGCCTACTGGCAAGAAACTGAGCTACAATCCCAAAGGCACATGGTTTGAGGCCAGCAGCTGCTCTGTGGGAGAAGGATGGACAATCTCCTCTTGTGCCATTAACTGCCTCCTAAAACCCACACGGGGGTCAGCTGTGGGTCAGTTCCGACTCTACGGTACACAATAACAATGGGATCTTCAGCACTCTTCTCCAACACCACAGCTCAAAGGCCTCAATTCTTCTATCATTCTTATTCATTGCCCTGCTCTCCGATGCATAGACAGTGACTGAAAAGACCATCGCCTGAGTCAAGCACACCTTAGTCCTCAAACTGACATCGTTGATCCCTGAGTATTCATTGTGGGATAATGAATAAGGATGACTGAAGAAGAATTGACACCTTTGAATGGTTCTGGTGGGAAATAATATCGAGCATCCCATGGACTGCTAACAGAACAAGCCCATCTCTTAGTGAAAATGCAATGAGGTGTCCCTTAGGGACAAAGATAGGGAAACTCTGTCTCACGTACTTTGGCATCTTGTCAGAAGGAGCTACTCCTTGGAAGAAGACATCATGCTGGGGAAGGTAGAGGATCAGAGAAAGAGAGGGAGACCCTCACCAAGGTGGTTGACTCAGTGACTGCAACAATGAACTTGAGTGTATCAGACATGGTTAAGATAGTGCAGGAGAGGGTAGGACTCAGGTCCATTGTTCAAAGGTTTGCTGTCAGTTGTAGTTAAGCTGACAGCCTCTAACAACAACACAGATAAAAAGGGTAGGAAAGGGAGCCTGGGGGGAGGACTTCAATATTATCAAGAAATAACCAACATGAACTTGGAAAAACAACGAAAGCAATTCAGTGTCTGGGTCTTTTGTTCATAGGGTCACTACGAGTCATCTACAACTTGACGGCACTTAACAACAATAACACCAACATAGAAAGAGCTCTGCAGATAGAAAGTTATGCTACCAAGCCAAAGGTGGGTGATTTTTATCTGCAGCCCTCAGGCCTGGTTTTAATTGGTTTTGATCAATCATTCTTCTAAGTGGTCTGTCCATTTGCTGTACAGAGGTAACTCGTGGTTGCTGTGATGCTAAACACTGTGATACTGATGTGTCAAGTGCAATAATGGTTACGCGTGATGGACAGTGTTTGGTGGAGCTCCCGGATTAAAACAAGTTTGGAAGCAGGAGTGGCATCCACTTCCGAAACAGCTTGTCTCCGGAAACTGTATGAACTTGGAGAAACTATGAAAGTTTTAAAGTGTTCAGGTCTTTTGTTCATAGGGTTGCTATGAGACATCTATGACTCGATGACACTTAACAACAACCACCAACATGAGAGGAGTGCATCTTTTTGGATTGGGGCCCCTGTGCTAAGAATCTCCTTGATTCCAATGCAGGTGAAGACACGTGGGGATTTTCAGGGACTGCTGGGCCAATAGGGCAGATTATATTACTAGAGAACAAGTCTCTGGTCCACTGAGAGTGAACCATCTTGCCCACCCATGCCTGCTGGTGCAGCGGCTCCAGCCAAGAGGGCCCACAGTGCTCTCTGTCACGACCAGGTAAAGAGCCAGTGGGAGCTCCTGTTCCAGGTGACGCACACAGCAAAGAAACTTGAGTAACTCAACTACTGCAACCAATGTGACCAGGTTACTTTTTAACTGCCTCCCATTTATCCAAAGTTATGTCCTAAGTTTTGTGAACAATAATATTAATGACCTCTTTAAAATATGTTTGACACACGCATGGACAAAATCTCCCGTGCACTTAGTGTAACATCAGCACAAATGTTAGTGTAACATAACTCTAACACAACAAACATCCACAAAGAACTGGGGATATTGCTATTTATATAACAAAATGCTTCATTTATGTATCAAGTGGGTTTTGTTTTTATTGTCCATTGCACCGGGGACGGTGTTTGAGATAACTTTCTGCTACTAAACGAGGTACTGCTGTTTCCAGTGGCTGTCAGGCTGACTATGCCTCATAGCTACACTACGAGCAATGTGTGGAAGCCTTGTCCTATCAGCACCATCCTCTGATCTCCAACAAGCATAAGCCCTGGTTGCAGTCACTGGGCCAATCTGTCCTTTTGAGGGTCTTCCTCTCTTTCACCGCCTCTCCACTGCTGCCAGCAGATACCTTTTTTCTAAAGTCTAGTGCTCCTGACACATGGACAAAGTACGTGAGATGAAGTTTCACCACCCTCGTCTCTAAGAAGCACCTTGGCTGCACCTGCTCCACGGGACACCTTGATTTTTTGTCGGCGCATTCTGTGGTATATTCAACACTCTTTGTCAACACCACAATTAAAAGGCATCACTTCTTCCTTGGTCTTCCTTATTTCTTGTCTGACTTTCACATATATACAAGGCAATTGAAAATACCGTGGCTTGGGCCAAGTGCACCTTAATTTTTTTTTAAATTTTATTAATTTTAATGAACATTTACAGAGATTTTGGATTTCCATTCATTCATTGTTGCCCTTTTCTCCCTGCCCCTGCCCAGCCCTCCCCCCCATCCCAGTTCACTCCTCTTTTTGAAAAGCAAAAGAAAAATTCCTACTTTGGTATATAATCCCCCCCGCACTCCTCCCACCGCCCTGAGTACACTCCACTATGCAAACTTAATTCTGGACTCTTGTGATAACCATAATACCCTATCATATATTGTTTTTAAATTGTTATCTCCCTCATCTGCTTCAATGTACTATACATAATTTATCCAGTTTTTCTCAGTCTTACCACAACCCTAATGTCAGTCCCAGTCTACAACAGTGACACCATGCAGTATTTGTCCTTTTGTGACTGAGATACTTCACTCAGCATAATGTCCTCCAGGGTCACCCATTTTGAATAATATTGCATGAGGTGCTTGTTTTTCAATGCAGCATAGTATTCCATTGTATGAATATATCACAGCTTCTCTATCCATTCGTTTGTTGATGGGCACTTAGTTGTTTCCAGCTCCTTGCTATTGTGAACAAAGCTGCAATAAACATGGGTGTGCATCATCTTAATCTTTAAAATGACATTCTTGTTCTTTGGCACTTTAGAAAGGACCTTGACAGCAGCTTTCTCCAATGCAACATGACTTTATTTTATTTTATTTTATTTTTTTTGCTGCTGCTACCAATGGCTGTTCATTATGGATCTGAGAAAACTTAAATCTTTGACAACTTCAATCTTTTCTCCATCTGTTGAAATGTTGTCTAGTGGTTCAGTGGTGAGGACTTTGGTTTTCTTGATGTTGAGATGTAACCCGTATTGAAGGCTGAAGTCTTTGATCTTGGGCAGCCAAGTGCTTCAAGTCTTCACTTTCTGCAAATAAGGTTGTGCCGTCTGCTTAACGCAGGTTGTTGCTGAAGCTTCTTCCAATCTGGATGCCACCTTCTTCTTCTTCTTCAGCGTCCAGCTTCTTGAATTATTTGCTCGGCATAGAGACTGAGTAGTCATGGAGATGACGCAGTCCTAATGCACTGTATTTTTCCCGACTTTAAATTATGCGTTATCCTCTTCATCTCTTTGACTACGTACATGAAAAGGCATTAGGGACATTAAAAGGATGAAAAAGTCAATATTTATTTATTGTATAAAAATATGTTTCTATTTTGCAATAATAAATGTGTTTCTAAATTTGTCTTTCAAGAAAGTAATAAAGGCATTGATCGGAATATTGCATTTACATTTCATCAGAATATTTACAAATTTTTGTGTAATAAAGTAGAACAATCTCTTGAAAGAAATGAAATTAACAATAATGGAATAAGACAAACATATTTTGTTTTCCATTTTCCTTCAAAACGATTCTAAGAAATTGATATTGTTACAACTGGCAGAACAAACTTGCTCATGGAGAAGTTATACCATTGTTAACATCAATAATGAAAGCATCTCCAAATATGGGAATTGAACAGTTCCACTAAGAAAGAAAAAGTAAATTTAGTATGTGATAGCAATTTTATTTTCCTTTCCATTTCAGATTGATTGGGGCTATCCCATCATATCCAGTGCTCTCTCATTGATCAGACCAGCAACATTATAATCATGTGACTCATGCCCTATCTGGTCCTCCCCCAAACTGAATCAAGAAGCATCCACCTTTAGCTTGGACATACTTGCATTAGTACCATGCTAGTCAAGCTCACTCTTAGCCCCAAGGTGTCAGCTAAGTCCAACAAAAAGGATGGATAGTGAGTATGAAGGTTTCTAAGTCTTACCTCAAGATGAAAGACATTGTGGAGAGCTGGTTTATGAAGGACCCACCAACAAAAAGCGCATGGCAAGTAACTGAAATTATTTCCAACTCTCTTGCAGGTACTGTTCCTTTTGAATCTCTCAGACCTAAAGAATAAAATTACATGCGCCAAATAAATTGTCACATAAAAATTTTTGTGTTAATGTCCACATTAAAATAGACATTGAACTGGATAGATTTATTTGCTTTATAAATGCTATCTTTTTTTTTGAATATGCATTTATTTTAGATAAAAATAACAAACACCACCAACAAAACTGCGCACACAACTGCACACGGAGGTCGTGGTGACACAGATGGGCAGTCCTTGTTCCCTGTGTGATCCAGACCTGAGTGGGTTCCACCACTCCTCTGTCCCAGGAGGTACTGGTCACCCCACAGACCGGGAGGGGATGGTTCTCGGCTCCGAGCCTTTGGCCAGAGGGTAACCCCTCTGCTGGTTGTGGCCTCCAGAGCTTCACACCAAGGCGGGGGTGGGGGAGCTGAGTGTCCAACTGATCCTGGTCCTGGTCAGCAGCCCCATGACCCCTCGCCACACCTGACACATCCGAATCACCTCCCGCAAGGCCTTCACCCCCTCCATGCTGCGGTCCTTCACAGCGACCACCAACAGGACCGCTCTGTTCCCAGCTTCCTGAGACACAAATGTCACCAGGTTCTCAGCAAAGATGTGGATGAGAGGCTCGTCCTGCCCGAAGAGGACTTTGGTGGTGAGCATGGGCTTGCTTATGTCATTGGCCACCTCGCTGGGCTCCAGGGAGACTAGGGTCATTTTCCCGAACTGGGTCACCACCACCAAGATGTGGCTGCTGAAGGCTGTGCACACCACCTGGGTGGGGACGCCACACAGCACTGCTCGCCGGTGCTTGGAGACCACCACCGGCTTGCTTTCCATGGCTGGCTGTCAGCTGCCGTAGGTCTAACTGATGCCACGTCTGCGCTGCGCCCGGGAGTCTATAAATGTGATCTTAAGTTATTAAAAGTTTTTACTATAGAGCCAAATTTAAGAAGAGACATGAGTTGATACTCAGGTAAAATGAAAAGGTAACAACTAAATGGAGTGTAGAAAGGAAAACTTCCAGAAGACAGAAAGAAAAGGATTTGTAAACCCCTTAAGAGAATGTCCAAATTACCTTCCTTTTAAAAAAATATCATCAATCAGAAGGGATTTCTATTGAACGTTTGCGTTTCTTGGGTGCAAATCTTCATACTAACACCACTAATACGAGAATCACTAATGTTGTTGTATTGTGTACCATCGAGATGGAACCGATCACAGCTGACCTGCCAGCCGTTTTCAGAGGCAGCCAATTTCTCGGGAGGAGACTGCCTGTCCTTCTCCTGCAAAATTACTAATAGCAATATGAATAGAACAGAACTTGTTTCAAACATAGATTCTGTTTCACAAATTTAATACAACAAAGCCATAGTGAAAAAGAAAAAGAAAGATACATAAAGGGAAACTATTTTAGAATCTGCAACTGGCTCACCTGTTCAGCTTTTACATAACAGAAATAAGATACCTTGGTTTGTGTGAATTTTTTTCTTCTAATGATGCAAATTATTGGCTCTAAAGAGAACAAGGAGATTGTCAATATCAGAGCGGACCATTGAAAAATATGTGTCAGACTTTCTGGATGCTAAACAAATAAGGTTCTATAGCTAGAATTCTTAGGGTGCAAAAATAATGGTGAAAATTATAAGCAGTTGTAGCTGTTGCATTCTTTTATTATTATTATTATTATTATTATTAATTTTAATGAAAATTTACAGAGACTTTGGATTTCCATTCATTCATTGCTGCACTTTTCTCTCTGCCCACCCCGACCTCCAGTTCATTCTTCTCTTTGAAAAGTAAAAGAAAAATACCTTAAAGTACCATAACCACTATCCAAGCAGATATACGCACACCCATATTTATTGTGGCTTTGTTTACAATAGCAAGTAGCAAACAACCTAAGTGCCCATGAACAAATGAATGGATAGAGAAGCTGTGGTATATTCACACAATGGAATACTACGCTGCATTGAAAACAAGGAACTCATGAAATATTATTCAAAATGGGTGACCCTGGAGGACATTATGCTGAGTGAAGTATCCCAGTCACAAAAGGACAAATATTGCATTTTTTTTACACCATATATCTCCTATATTTATTGAAAATGCCTAGATTTATTGAAAACGTGGGTGCATAAAAACCACCTGAGTTCTATAGAAAGTGAGCAGATTGTGACGTAATTTTAAACTTGATGTGGTAGCCTCCCAGTGACCTTGACGTGAGGTGATGCTAATGAACCTGGGTTCAGTCTGTGCTGCTGTCTTGTGTGACTCCTTAGAGACCCAGCTCAGCTCTTCTCCAATGTCTTCTCTTGGAGTTGGGCCTGATTTTATTGCCAGTTTTCATTCAAATCCCTGAGGAATGGGACAGCTCTGCTTTTGTTTACTGGCCAGGAGCATCTTGAGCCTGAAAGTCTTATGAGAAGACACAGTGAAGACAAAACAGGACCACACGAAAAATGATGGCAGAGGTAAAGGAAGAGGAGGGAAGACGGCTGGAAGCATGCTTTACAAGTGCAGCATTCCTTGTAAGTCAACTTTGTATATATTTTTTTATTTGCATACTATCCCCTCCTAAATAAGTTAATTCCCGATTTTCTATGGATAGATTTAGAGACTGGTATAATCTGAATATGACTCATAGACATGAAAACAGTTAATGAACAGATATTGCTTGTTGTCAGACTTAAAGACAACATTTAGCTAAACTATTGGAAACAAAGTAAAGAAGATGGTCGGTGTTGGAAAGGTGCTGAACACGGACTGTCGGTTCCCGGAAGACTGAAGTGCATGAATTCCCACAAAATGAAAATTCAGGGAGTTTATTTGAACTTGTTGCTCAACTTGATCCTTTTAAAAATGCAGATCGTATCTTAAAATACGCTAACACAGGCAAGAGCAGCCCATCGCGTATGTCTGACACACTAGTGTCATAAGTGGCAAAGTTCACTCAGCTCGTCTAATAAGTGATAGAAATAGCATTTTTATATCCAATTATAGGTGTTATAAATATTTTGCAACCAGGTAACTCCCTTTTGGGCTTCGTTTCCTATACACAAGTGTGTGCGTCATACATGCGTGCGTGTTACTTGGGATGGAGAAGCCACATTTCTGTTTCCCACTGATTCCATCTCTGATCTTTCCCACGCAGTCAGGTTTTAAGATATATCTATTTCCAACAGATTCATCCTGGAGAGGTTTAAACCGGGCTACTCCTTGGAGGCAAGGATTCTGGGGTTCCGTCTGACATACTTTGGACATGTTGTAAGGAGGGACAGGTCTTTGGAGAGGGACATCATGCTTGGGAGGGTGGAGGGACAGCACAGGAAAGGAAGGCCCTCTGTGAGGTGGATTGATTCAGTGACTGGGGTAATCAGGATGGGTGTGTCAGAGACAGTGCGGTTGGCACAGGATAGAGCAGGGTTTAGGGCTGTTGTACATAGGGTCGCCATGAGTTGCAAATGACTCGACGGCACATAACAACAACATTTCCAACAGATGGAAAAACCTGTCAAGCAATCTATTATACTTACCAGCTTAAAAAGTCATACAATAAAAACTTCTCCAACAGGGTAAAAAGGGAAGCTGCAGACTGGGAAAAAATATTTGTTAATGACATGTCCTATAAGGGACTTATGTCTAGAATTTATAAAATACTCGAGCACCACAGCAAGATAAAGGTAAAAAACTCTATTGCAGAATGGGCATAGGCTATGAATAGACACTTCACCCAAGAAGACATCCAGATGGTGAACAAACACATGAAGAAATGTTCAAAATTCCTAGCTCTAAGAGAGATGCAAATCAAAACAACTATGAGATATCATCTCACCCCAGTAAGAATAGCAAAATTTAACAGAAGAGCAAACAACAAATGTTGGCAAGGTTGTGGAGAAACTGGAACCCTTATTCACTGTTGGTGGGAGTGTAAAATAGTGTAACCGTTATGTAAGGCAGTATGACACTTTCTCAAAAAGCTGGAAATAGAAACATCATTTGAACCAGAAATTTCATTACTGGGAATATACCTAAAAAAAGCACAGCTGCCAGCCAAGTAGATAAATGCACATTATGTTTATTACTGCTTTGTTCATAATAGCAAAGAATTGGAAACAACCCAAGTGCCCATAACAAATGAATGGATAGAGAAGCTGTGGCATAGTCACACAATGGAATACTATGCAGCACTGGAAAACAAGGAACTCATGAAATATTATACAAAATGAGTGACCCTGAAGGACATTATGCTGAGTGAAATATCTCAGTCACAGAAGGACAAATACTACATAGTGCCACTGTTGTAAAGCGGGACTGACATTGGGCTTGGGAAGAAACTAAGAAAAGAGGGGATAAATAATGTATACTGCTTTGAGACAGGGGAGGGAGAGAACTGTTTAAAAGGAATATGTGATTAGGTATTATTTTCATGACAAGAGTCCAGACTGAGAGCTGCATAGTGGCATAGACTGGGGGGTGAATTGTATAACAATGAAAGTTTTGTGTTTCTTTTCACTTTTCAAAGAGAAAAGCTAATGGGGGGGGAGGGGTGGGCAGAAAGGAAAATGTTCAACAATGAATGAGTTGAAATCCAAAGTCCCTATAAACTTTTATTAAAATTTCAATTTAAAAAAGTCATACAAGTGAGAAAATTGCAAATCAAGTACTTTACAATTTATGTGAAGTTTGCAAAATTGCATTTTCCAAATGCAGGTCTAAGAGGTCAACTGTATGACAAAGTAGCCAATATGTCAGAATATTACAAAGTTATGCAACAGAACATTTTAGGATTCAATAAATAATCCATTTTCATACTTAATTTTTCAGGACAGAGCACCGCAGATTGGTGTCTGGAGGCAGTTGAGTTTCCCATTCCTTCTGCTGCTTGATTGTACCAGCAAGCCGAAGGCACAGGGTTCAAATCCAGCCACTGCTCCACTGGAGAAAGATGGATAATCTCCTCCTGTGCAATTTACAGCCTCTGAAAACCCACTGGAAGTCAGCTATGAGTTCTGACTTGATGACATGACAGTGAAATGTCATGCATAAAGTTTAGGCATTAGTGAGTTGAATTGGACTGGCATTGGCAAACTGAAGAAGAAGGCCATTGAATTCATCTTCCAAAAGAACACTTTAAGATCTTTGAAAACATTGTCAATGATAGCATAGCATTCACGTATCTACAAGGAAAATCAGTCAAGATCAATATTATTCAAATTAAGTACCAACTGTTAATGCCAGACATGAAGAAACTGAGGGTTTTATCATCTGCTGCTGTCTTAAATGGATACAACAAATAATCAAGATACACTGATAATTACTGATGATTGGAATGCAAAAGTTGAAAGCAAAGGAGGATTGCTAGCTGAAAAATCTGGCTTTGGTAATTGAGATGGTGCTAGATTTTCCATGACAGGGCCTTTTATTTTTGGTTTTCCCCCCTTCTAGGATTAAGCATTTATTAATTGTCAGTACATATTTTCAACAACATAAACAATGAATATACACCTGAAGTAACCACACTGAATCATAGAAATCAAATTTAAAACACGTCATCAATTGCTCACATGCAAACTCAAGTTGATGAAGAAAATGAAAAGTAGTCCGTGAAAGCCGAAATGAGGTCTAGAGGAAGTGCAAGCAGGGTGCTTCTTAGAGGCAACGGTGGTGAAACCTCATCTCACACACTTTAGTACTAGAAGGGTGTCAGTCCTTGGAAGAAAAAAAAAGATGGAAAGGTAGAGGGTCATTGAGAGAGAGGAAGACCTTTGAGATGGATGGACACGGTGAGTGTAACAATGGCCTTGAGCTTGCTGGACATGGTAAGGGTGATTCAGGAC